ATGGGAATAAGTTTTAATCGATTTTTATGTAGACAAAAAACATAGTTTGAATATGAAAATATTAAATGATTTTATTCAAAATATTTTCCATCTGAAGCGACAACCTTCGCCAATCTTTCCGGCAATAAACGGATTCCTCGAGTGAAGAATTTTATTTCTTTCGAGACGATCCAGTCATCGACCCACTTTTGTATGCTGTCATATGAGGTGAAACGCTCTCCAGTAAGTGCCGACTGCATCGACCGGAACAAATGATAGTCTGAAGGGGTAATATCTGGTGAATACGGCGGGTGGGGTAGGACCTCCCATTTCACTCCTTCTAAGTATGTCCGGACGGGTTGACCAACATGTGGCGTTGCCGTGCTGCAAAATCAGCTTCTCGTGTCTATCGCGCCATTCCGGCCGTTTTTCTTGAATAGCTTGTTTCAAACGCATTAGTTGAAGTCGGTAACGTTGGGAATTGATAGTTTCGGACGGTTTCAGCAGCTCATAGTAGACTACACCCCGCATATCCCACCAGATACAGAGCATGATCTTTGACCCGTGAATATTGCGCTTTGGCGTTGATGGATTCGGTTCACCTGGCTTCATCCATGCTAGTTTGCGTTTAAGATTGTCGTAGTGAATCCATTTTTCATCGCCAGTGACGATCCGATGCAAAAAACTCTTTCTTTCTTGTCGTTGAAGCAACATTTCGCACGTGACCAAACGTCTTTCAATGTCCCTTTCCTTCAACTCGTGTGGCACCCAATTTCCTGCCTTCTGAACCATTCCCAGCGCATATAGGCGTTTTCCAACGGTGGATCGATCAACATCCAATGCTGCAGACAATTCTTCAAGTGTCTGACATGGATCAATATCAAGCAATTTCTCAAGTTCCTCATTTTAGAACTTTTTTGGGGCACTATCGCGTTCTTTGTCGTTGACATCGAAATCACCACTTTTGAAGCGTTGGAACCAATATCTGCAAGTTGGCTCCGATGGAACATGGTCGCCGTAAACATTCACAAACAAACGGCACGTTTCCGCAGCATTTTTCTTCAAAAGATAGTAGTGGAGAAGAACTTCCCGCAAATGCTGCTTTTTTGGAACAAATTCCGACATTTTCGATATGAATATTTGCTGTTTGCACTCCAAACAAAAGTCCTATACTGCGTTTAACAGCTTACATATACACCTTTTAAATCCATGTATTGAAAGGTTAGAAAAGATGCAAGCGATACTATTAATGCCATCTATGGGGAAACTATTAAAACTTATTCCCATACCCAATATAAGAAGAAGAGTTTATCGTGGATAAAGTGATACGACGCAGAGGACGAGGAGCTAATAAAGAATTATTCGTCAGCTGGCGAGGTTACCCCTCTAAATTCAATTCCTGCTTCGAACCTCAAGCTGCTTCCAAACCATGATGGCGGAAGACCGGTTTCTCATAATTCTACCGAGCAAAAGTAGCATGCGACACTATCCAGAAAATACAACTACTTCATTTATTACGGAATTGCCTCAAGAAGTGAAGCTGACTGGTTTATGGGAAGTTGCGCTTACCGAAATTCAATTCCCCTTTAGTTTTTTATACGTGCGTCCCGAGGAAGATGCAGAACTCAAATTCATTTCGTTACCACGTGAAAATATTAATACCAAAAACGTCAAAAAAGATGAAGGCCAGCTTCGGGGCCCCAAATTCGGGGTTATCTGCATAATCCCGGGTGTTTACGCCACGATGAGCGAACTGTTACAGGCTTTAAACAACGCTAACTCATTGTTCAAAACACACATTGCTTGTCGCCAGGATCCTCATCATGGTGGTAAAATAACAATGTACTGCACATGTGATATTAAAGAATGCAATAGACTTCATTTCGTGAAGTTTTCCGACAAAGTGGCTCGTATGCTTGACTTCGATATGTATAGACCGAACAAAGAATTAATTCATCTTAACTTGTCGAAAATTATGCAGGGACGTGTGGCATACTATCCCAATACTGATCGTAATGTGAATTTCCAAAAAGCTGGAGAAGAAAAGTTTTACGCTTTCACCACGACACAAAACGTAAACTTATGCCCGATGAACCAGGTAGTGTGGTGCGGGATGTACCTGATGAACTTGTTTGTTTATTGCGATATTTAGTTCTATATAATGGGAGACGTGCATTCTCCTCTTCTCCGAGTGGTTCCCGTCGAATACAACGATGATAAATATGCTTACGAATGTAACATGATGAAACATTTTTCGCCACCGAATTATATTCCATTGCGATTAACATGTTTCCGCACGATCGAAATAGATATAAGAGATCAGGTTGGCGAAAGAATACCATTTGAATTTGGGACGTTGACAGTTACATTACAATTTAGACGTCGAGATTAGAGATAATTATTCCGTAATTAGAACACATAGATATGACACATTATTTAGAATATTACGAAGCACAATCCGGGGGAAATCGTGGTGGCGGAATTCCACAAGTTTTCGTAGGATCGCGGTATCAAAACGGTCACGGTATCGGTAGTTTCCTCAGTGGTCTGTTCAGACGCGTGTTGCCTTATTTGGCCAGTGATGCGCATGTCGTTGGAAAAGAAGCTCTACGCGCAGGGATTAATATACAGTTTGTACTCAATAGGCAAAGTAAGAGGGTGTACGGCATAAATGGCAGTTGGCTTCAAATATCATCCTAGTTTTTTTATGAGCCGATAGATGAAATCTTTGTCGTGAATGCTTTGTCACAAAAGATTCAGTTGGCGTCGAACTTTAATCTGAGAAACACGTTAACCGCCATGAGTGCCGCATACGCATCGCGCTACGAGGCTGTGTTCCTTTGTTCCCATCCCAAAGGACCAAAAATGTCATATGCAGTGGCTATTAAATACATGGGAAAGTCAAAATCGTTCGTCCCTAAGTGGGTTCAGCAATATAAGAAGATCAAAAATGTCGATGACTTGCCAGAACGTGGCTCGATAGGCAAAGTGACGCCGAATATGGAAAAAAATATTATGAATCTGTTCAAGCGGAACCTGACCTTAACATTGCGACAAGGAGCAGCAAAATTAAAACAGAAGGGTATAGAAGTATCACATACAACTATTCGAACCCATCTCCTTGTGCATAACCTCAAATATCGAAGCACAATGAAGAAACCACTGTTAGGCGAAAAACATGTGACGAAAAGACTCGCTTGGGCAAAGGAGAATTTGGACCAAGATTGGAGCAACGTGATCTTTACGGGCGAAGCTTCTGTTTGGGGATATACTGCCATCCGACGTTCCTGGTCAACCTTGACCAATAGATTAATACAACGGACTGTTAAACACCCTGTAAAAGTTCATCTTTGGGGCTGCTTTTCGAAACAGGGTTTTGGAGCATTACATCTTTTGTAGCATTTAAATTGTATTTACATACAATTTAAATGCTCCGAAAATGCTTAAAATTTATGAGAAGTGTTTGTTGCCGACTGCTAAACGATGCTTCATGAAGAAAAAACGAGGACTGAATCTTACAGGAAGACAACGACCCAAAACACCGGAGCAAGCTTTGCACCAAGTGGACAGAGCAGTCTGGCATCGTCACACTTGATTGGCCATCGCAGTCGCCAGATGCAAATCCCATTGAAGATGTGTGGGCATATCTCAAGCACAAGCTTCGAGAAAAAAGAGTGTGCACTTTGAAGCAGCTGACACGACAAATTCGTCTCATTTGGAGGTCTTTATTGAACGAACGCAGTCAACTTAGTGGAAAGTATGCCTCGGGGATGCCAGGCAATTATCAATGCCGGTAATGACTGGACTCATTATTTACGGTATAGAATTTTTCTTCTCATAGAGTACAACAAATCCATGTACTTAAAAATCATTAAAAATAAATTTTCCTACACATTAACCCGTACACGCTCTTACTTCACAGACTGTACATACTCGAGGACGTGGGGAATAACACACCATTGGAAGTAGCTGTTAAAACGCGTAGCGTTTTCACGGTTTCAGGGAATCAGACTCAAGGAATCAGACTCAAATCTCAAAAGAAGAGCGGAAGAACACATTAACAATCTGATGAAGGAGTCGGGATATAAAGTTCTTGCGAAAATCGGAAAAGCTCAGTTTCCTTTCAACACGCCAAGTGGATACAGCAGTAAATCATCTTCGCGCAAACATCGGGTCAGCGCTTCTAAATCAAGTAAGAGGAAAGTGACTCGAAGAAACGCACCGGGAAAGAAATCGGGTAAGAAGTTAGCGAAGAAACCCACGAAGAAGAAGCGTTCAGTGAAAAAAAGCGGGAGAGAATTCACTAAACGTCGGGGAGTTATCAAGAAGCATACTGTGTCAGGCATTTTTTCCTAAACAACAAACGCTTGCTTTCGAAGCATGTCCTTTCTTCATACGTATTCCTGCGAATGTTTAAAGAGTGAACTCGATCTCTTCACCCTGCCGCCTACACAAACCAGTATTGAGAGTTCGCAATGGATTCACTACAAACCCTTGTCTTCTCTCACGGACGATGAGCCCGTCAAATTCGTCGTACCCGGGCATGGAGAAGAATACATAGATCTTGCTCACACCATGCTACGCATATGAGTAGAAACGGAAACCGGAGCAGGAGCCGCCGCCGCAAAAGTAGGCCCAGTAAACCATATACTGCATTCGATGTTTAATCAAATCGACGTACGTTTCAATCAAAAGCTCGTGTCTCCTCCAAACGATGCTTACGCTTACCGCGCTTACATAAAGGCGTTATTAAATTATGCTTCACCAGTAAAAACGTCCCATCTGGCTTCGTGTTTGCGGTACAGCGATACTGCAGGGAACATGGACGCTCTATCTGGAGTGACACCAAGCAATCACGGACTCTACAAGCGAGCCACTTTTGTACAAGGAGGGCGAACACTGGATCTCATAGGTCATCTTCACTGCGACGTCTTCAATCAAGATTCTTGATCAACGGTGTCGAAGTGCGCATGAGGCTTGTTCGTTCGAAAGATTCCTTCTGTCTTATGGAAGAAAATACTATGTCACGGATACGCATTTTAGATGCTACACTACTCATCAAAAGAGCTAGAATAAACCCAGACATATTACTCGCTCATACGAAAATGTTGACCAGGACTACTGCTAAATACCCCCTCACGAGAGTCGAGGTTAAATCATTCACGATTCATAGCGGCGTCGTAGGAGAGACACTGGACAACGTCATTCTTGGACAAATACCAAAGCGCATAATTGTCGGCTTTGTCGATAACAAAGCATTTAACGGTGCCCGGCATTTAAATCCATTCAATTTCCAGCATTATGGAATAAATTGCTTTTCGTTGTATGTCGATGGTACTCAAATCCCTAGCAGACCGTTACAACTCAAATTCTCTGGTAACGAGATTCTCTACGCCGAGGCGTATCACACCCTTTTCTCAGGAACGGGCATTCACTTTTTAAACGAAACTAATTCTATATCCAGAAAAGATTATTCTGCTGGTTATACTCTTTTCGCTTTTGACCTCACTCCTGATCTGCCAGCTAATTACGCAGGCCAACGGAACCTTGTGAAATACGGTAGTTTGCGAATGGAAGTACGATTCGAAAGAGCCCTCACAACAACGGTCAACTGCTTAGTTTACGCTGAATTTGAAAGTGTGCTGGAAATAGATTCTTCTCGTCAAGTCATTGTAGATTATAGCGGTTAAAGAAACACATCTCCTACTTTTCTTTTCGGCGTCTTTCCCCTTCCCGTATAAAGATTTTCAACATCATTCTCCTCCAGAGTAAAAATTTTGAGAAAAGAACTCAGTCGACTTCGAGGCGTAAAGAGTATAGTTTCGGCAAAGCAGAATTTCGAATACAGTGAGAACATGGATGTGATCATCGAAATGCAGTGTTTCCGCGATAGCAACGATACCTATGTGCTCAAGGAGGTGGCTATTGTCGGTATTAATGAGACATTTGTCGGACATTGGATCTTAGCTCCAGAATATTCATTTGCGGAATTGAACGAAAAATCAAGACGGATAAATAACTGGCTTTCGCTGTATTATCGTGGAATCGAGTGGTACGATGGGGAGACTAATCCAAAATATTTTTATCCGCACTTGCGTGAAATTACAAGCCATATTCGTGACTTCATGACAAAAGGCAAGGAAAAAGCGAACTACTTGCAAAATTTGTTAGCGCGAAACGTGTATAATCTGGAGAATATCTCGCCGATGTCCAGTGATCTTTCACCCAGCGAACGAATAGAAGGCTGCTCATTCCACACATTTAGAAAACACAGACGTTATCATTGTGCATTACGCGATGCATACAAATTGAAACATTGGTTCATCGAACAAAGTCAAATCAACATCAGGTAACGCAACAAAATCTATATGACCCCGTGCTTGTCCTCCAAAATTGACGAGGAAGACGGAGAAAATAGTTATTCCGACAAATCTGGGAGCGAACAGTCGCCGGTTGAAGAAGAGGAAAACGAGACAAATACTGAGTTAGAACATTCTGTCGAGCCGTCGAAGACTATAACAATCGCGTTACCAGAGGTAAACGAAATTATAAAATGAATTCGCTCGAAATTTAACATGCATTGCAACATCTCAATGTTAGATATACAGGCGTCTATCCAGCCGACAGACTACCGAGGGTATGGACGAGGTCAACGGCAGTAGTCGCTAATACGGATAATCATGATCGTCCGGGACAGCACTGGGTCGCATTCTACGTCGATCGGAATGGAGCGGCCACATACTTCGACAGCTACGGGATGCCACCCTGGAACTCTCCTGTGTCTTAGAAGAAATTCCGTCACTTACCAATGGAATACCTTCCAGCTACAGGGACTCTTATCGACGACTTGTGGTCATTATTGCTATGTTTTTCTTTACTTTATGTATCGGGGTTATAATCTCGGGCAATTTAACAGTTTGTTTACCAATGATTGTGAACGAAACAATTAGTTGATTGTACGAATGTATAAGAAAATATTTTGTCAATGTAAGCGTAAATCGCTAGATCAACATATCCCTGTGTACCAGGTTAAATCCTGTATTAAGAAAAATGTATAAGAATAAAATATGAATTAATTCTATGAAAAATATTGTGCATTCCTTTCTCTTCACCTCTTCTCTCTTCCCTGTGATTTCCAGTTCGAGATAACAAATCCCGTTATAAACTTTTCGAGTTCGAAAGCGAGGGGACCCGCACAGATAAAAATATTCGGGTAGACATAGACCAGAGATATTCCAACAATCGCGGGGTAGTTTTTGTCTTCGAAATGATCCCTACCTGCTCGAACATGCTCGCACACGCTCACGAAAGTCGAGAGCCGGAGTCTCATAGTGGGGGCTCGAGTCCCGTAGGTTCTAGAATTTGCCAAATTTTTCACGCGTGACATCGATACTCTTTATATATATACAATATAGCTAGTTTGCATCAGAGTATAACAGTAGCGTAGTGCATAAGACGCTTGACTTTTGAAAGCCAGCGAACCCAGGTTCGAATCCGGTCAGGACCTACAGGATTTTTCCAGAGACTTCGCACTAAACATACACACACACACACACACACATACACACACCTCTCTCCGTTCTACGTGTACGTCGTGAAACCAGTTTCTACCAAAGAGTAGCAGTAGAACAGTGGTGAGACGAGTTTGACTCAAGAGCCTTGAGATCCCCGGGTTCGAGCTCTCGCCGCAAAGTGCCTAGGAGATTTTTCTAAAAATAACATGCAAATTAACCAGCTGAACAAGAGCTAGAATCACTAGCAATGCCTAATATGAATAATAAAAATTTAATATTTAGATTACGCTAATTTTTATTCCGGTGATTCAAATTTCCGCCATTTTCAGCCTTAGGGGTAGGTATGGCAACTCAAAACATTCCCCCTCCACTTGATCCTCCGGCGCCGGTGGGCGTGGTCTAGTGGTGCCGGAGGGTCGAGTGGAGGAGGAATGTTTTGACTGGCCATACTACCCCTATACTACTTTTAAATTTTAATTTTAATTAAAATTTTATTTTTTATTACATTTTTAATTAAATTAATTTTTTTAATTTACATATAAAATATCACTGACTGTGATTAACAAATTAAATATACAGTCGACAAAAAACCAATGAAACAAATTAACCAATATATTTTTACGAATTAAATTTATTTATCATATATCTTTAATGATCCAAATTTATTTAATCAATTTAAATTGAATTCTCGAAAAAACAAAAAAAATCAAAATTGCAATATATTAAACATCAATATTATTAATGCACTTATTTTTATTTCAATCAATCATCAATCATTATAATATAAATAGATATAAGATATATTTGAACTTACCATTGTCACACCCATTTTTTCAGTACTACGTCTTTTTCGAGAACGTCGACTAGGTGGATCACTCTTTTTATCTGTATAAGATTGTACATTATCATTCGCGTGACGTGAGGACCGTCGACCTCTTATAGTCTTTTGTTCAAGTATCAATTGTTTCGGTTGTTTTGAACCTATATTTTCTTCTGTTTCCTGTTCCTACAAAAAAAATATTTATATTTAAATGGATCGTTAATTCTGTCGTTACATATCCAAGGAGATGGCAAGACATGTAAAATCGATAATTGAATGAGTCATATTTCATTCGAATGGGGGGGGGTTGAATACATAAAAACCCTAAAAGGGTTTGCGTGCAAGGGCCTTCCTTTGCAAGAAATTTGCAATTAAAAAAACAGCTACATATTAAATGTAATAACTTGGAATCAATAAGCGTGAAACGCAGTAACTGCGAAAGCTAAAGTGCGCGCTAATATTCTGTCGTCTAAGTCCGAGGACTATTCGAGTCCTCGCAGTGCCAACTTTTTTTCTTATAATATTATCTATTATTATATTTTATAATATTTCTACAATATTTTTAATATTTTTATCATTTGTTATAGGACAGAAATATAATGCACACATACAGGGTGAAGAAAAAACCCTGGGACCCCTGAAAATTTCGAAAAATATACACTTTATAAAAAAATGTTTCAGACAAAAGTTGTAGCGTTAAAAAAGATCTATTTACCGATCTTAACAATTTGACCTTGGGTGGCGTCATCTAGATCAGGACAAAGTCACCTTGGATTTTTTAAATGAAATCCCAATTTTTTATTGCATATTCTTATAGCTCTTCTTCAGACCTTTTCAAAGCACTATGATTTTATCCAATTTGAATAAGCTGTTCCGAAGTTATCGAGTTTTTTAAAGTAAGATATCTAGCCAACTAAGGCAAGATCGGAGGATGATCCGGCCAACTAAGGCAACGTCGGAGTGATCGAGCCAACTAAGACAAGATCGAAGGATGATCCAGCCAACTCGTAAAAATAATTGCGCGACTAACTTCCAGGCGTTGGCTCCTATTGGCTTGTCTTAATTTCGTTGATTGATTTATTTCAGTTATTTATTTATTTATTTGAACTATTCTGCTGTTCGATGTTTATTTCTTCCATTTACTCATTTAATACTCATTACCATTTAGTGAATCGCAAACTCGACTGAAATTCCTCTATTTTTTTGAAAATTATTAAGAAACAGTTTGAAGCTAGTTGTAAGCTGACTTAATTGCACTTCATTCCGTGCTCATTATTATTCTTCAGCACTGTCTTTAGAATAACTTTGAATTGATCCAAATATTAATTTAGTCGATTAGACTAAATCTTACCACTTCTGCTTGTCAATATGGCAAGTCTTTCAGAACGAGAACGCATATCTCTTTTGATGATGAGAGGATGGGATGATCGACTAAGGTCGTACAATGATGTAAGGCGGGTTTTTAATGAAACTTTTCGTAATCAGGGTAATGCCATTTCAAAATCTACCGTTGAAAGAACAATAAGGCGTTTTCAGGAAACTGGAAGTGTGAAAAATCATGCAATACCAGGTAGGCCAGTATCAGCAACAAGTGTAGAAAAATCATTAGATGTTCTACAATCCTTTATCGAAAATCCGCATGATTCGACCCGCAAAGTAGGACAGCAACATGAAATAGATCAAATGCCTGTGCTTAAAATATTGAAAATGAATAAATTTCATCCTTATAAGATCCATCTTGTACAAGAGCTAAATGAAGATGATTTTGATAGGCGCATTGAATTTTGTGATTTGATGATGGAAAAAATAACCGAAGATCCTAACTGTCTATCAAATGTAGTATTTTCAGATGAGGCAACATTTCAGTTAAATGGCCACGTTAATCGACACAATTGTAGATTTTGGTCAGATACAAATCCTCACTGGATTGAAGAAACACACACGCAGTATCCACAAAAAGTGAATGTTTGGATAGGTATTTTGAATAATGTTCTCATAAATCCACTCTTTATTGACAGAAATCTAACAGCGATAAAATATGAGAATATGCTAAGAAACGAAATAATTCCAGCGATACAAGCAATCATGGATGACAACTTCGAACATACATGGTTCCAACAAGATGGTGCCCCACCACATTACGGAAGGGACGTCCGTAATTATCTGGACACAGTGTTTCCTCATCGATGGATAGGTAGAAGAGAACCTATAGAATGGTCTCCTCGATCACCCGATTTATCACCTAACGATTACTTCCTGTGGGACCATTTAAAAGATAGAGTTTACAAAACGAAACCACAAAATTTGGGTGACTTACAAAATCGAATTCTTGATGAAGTTGCTCTCATCCCTGCTG